ACTTTAATCAATACTTTGTTGGATTTAAGAGTTTTCATTGAGATAGAGTATGAGGATTTTTTGCATTGTCTCTTTGTATACTTGGACTTGACAGATTGACGAAGTTCAAATCGACCGATTAACTCATCGAAATAGAAAGAGTCTTGACTTGAATGATAATCAAAAGTATCATACTCATTATCTGACGTCATTTGATTTTTTTTTTTTGTTCTACAAATATAAATTAGCATGATGCATGATCTATTATTGAAATGAGAAATATGCAGAATTTTCCTGCAGACCTAAATTGAGTATCTCCAAACACATTTGGAGTTTTGAATGAACACTATAGCTGTGAGATTCAGTCGAATTTTGTTGCATTTTACAATATCTTTAATCTATACGTCTAACTATGATATTGATTATATGAGTGTGGATGTGGATTGGTTTGAGTTCGAGTACTATTGTTCTTTCCATCCACACCCATATCCACCCTTACTTGAATGCAGAAAACTAAAGAAAGAACGAAAAGTATCTGTTCAAGTGCTAAGCTTTTTTCCTTGTACGTTAGCTAGAAATAAATTTTTATTGGATATTTTATTAGTGCCAGTAATTTCTTATCTTTTTCCTGAGCTCTATGTTTGGATTTGAATGTAACTATAATTGTAACGATCCCGATTGATTGAATTTCTTACATGACACTTAACCTTCCCATATCACTCCCTCGTATATTATACGTACATTGTCTTTACCTTTCTATTCTTCTGTCCTTATCCTATTGCTCTCCTATATCGACTCTCTCCTTGGCCTTATCTCCTCTATTTTCATCCTCTCTTCTTCTACTTGCATATATAAGCGTGTCCTATGTATGTAAACGATACGATTATATGATATGAAGGTTTAGAATAAAGTGTAATACCATCAGCACTATCATCCCTTCTATCAGAAATCGTCACAATAATGATGAGGATGAGTATGTGTGATAGGATAGAGGAGAATAATCAAACAGATATACCACACTCATCATTCTCTCAAGATACTCTGCAGAATTCTGAAGGTTTTTGTCATCTTTTGGCGAATATGACCACAGTGTACAGATAAATCCATGACTCAAAATTAAGGAATTTAAAAAAAATTACAGGATGCAAAGTATGTATGTAAGGTACTCAAGTATACCTTTTAACTGCTATTGAGTTGAAGAAATTCAAGTTATAAATATATGCAACTATGTAAACATCTGCAACACACAATTGTCGCCAATTTTCTTCAACTGATAATTTGTGAATTGCATGTGCTGCTAACTATGAATTGTTTGTAGAGAGAAATTCATCTGTTCAGAAGCAGCTCAGATAATTAGGCGTACACTTAAAGAAGTTTTTGATACTTAGAATTTTTTTTTCTTGAGTTTCTCTTGCTAAAGAAGTTCATGCAATTTATGATGCCATTGATTATACGCTGACTAGTTAGCTATAGAACACAGTTGATGTTAAATAGTGAAAGGCAGACAATGTAGTAACTGGACAGTTACAATCACTAGTTATACGCGACCCCTAAAGTAGTTTTTTTTGCGTGGTATCTTTAAGACAACCAATAGAATGATCACCACGATGATGATAATGTGTCATATCGTGATATGTTCGTTTTAATACAACATCAAATATTTGACGTCTAATAGGTAAATGATAAGTAATTTTTTATGACAAGGGAGTAGATATATAAAAAGAATGAGAAAAATGATGATGAGAACTACTATTTTTTTTATTGCTCTAGTGCATATTGACGTAATGTCGACGAGCACAAACCAAGAGAAGATCAAAGTCCGTCTTTACTACTGGAACGCTCGCGGTCGCATTCAAGCGGTTCGCTACATGCTCGAAGATGTTGCAGCTAAATATCCCAATGTCGATTATCAGGAAGATTTTGAAATACTCGAAAAAGCCGCTGAAGACTGGCCTGCTCACAAGGCAGATAGAAGCATTTCTGGGCCATTTGGTACTCTACCCGTGCTACATTGGAACGATACACACATTATTGCACAAACTCTACCCATCGGTCTGTTAGTCTAATATATTTATACAGACATTTTATATGAACACTTGTTCTCCATTTCTAGGACAATTCATAGCACGTAAATTTGACTTGTACGGTAAACCGAAATCAGCCAATGAAGATCCAGTTGTTTTTCAAGCTCTTATCGATGGAGTCGTCTCCTGTGCCTATACCGATGTTATATTTAATATATTCATGATCCTCTGGAATCAGGTGGATTTTGACGATCCGAACCATCCCTATGCTCGATTAGTGAAAAGAGTTACTAGTGATTTTAAGACGTTGAATGATCTTCTTGCAAAGAGTTCAACATCCTTTTTCTACGATCAACATGAACCAACCATTGCCGATTATTTCGTATTTTATGGGTTTACACTTGCAAAAGATTTCCATTCTGCTTTATTGCCGGCTGACGAGGATACACAAGCATTGAGCAAACTCGAACAGGAAATGAAAAGTCGTCCAGCATTAGCCAAATATTTTAATGAAGGTCGTTTATACAACCGATTCAGTGGCTCGCCGACAGAACAGCAATATCGAGCGAAAATTGCCGCGAAGAAAAACTAATCGATATCCGTCTGATTGATGAACACAAGCTTTTCAATAAAAAAAAAACATTGATATTACAAAACTATGAACGCATTATGTTGAGCACTAATTAATGTCTTCAATAGATGTGCGGATGTGTGGAGTAAGGCTTGTATTCACTCATATCCAGAAACGTAGAAATGTGAAGTCTAGTATGAAAACCGAATTTTGTAATTCATTTTATCTTTTTATCAGTAGTAGCCACTTTATATGACACGAGAAACATTTTAGATTGTACTAAATAATGTCCTCATGGAGATGTAATAATAAATATTTTCTCAAAAAAATAAACATATGTAAAATAGAGTGGTTATACATCACGCGCGTTTGCGGTTCGTACCACAAGAGTTTAGTATGAGATTGAAATCATGCTAGAAAACGCAGTATGAGTTGCGTTCGTGTTGCTTGGGAATGGAACACTGACACCCGTAATCACTACAGAAATGTGAGCAAGTGTTAAATTTCTTAAAAATAGAAAATAATACAACTCTAAGAATTATAACAAAACGAACGAACCATCGATATATATACATGTATCAATGCTCATAAAGAAATAGAATGGAGGAAGAAGAAATATCCGTATGAAACGCTTTTGTAACACAGATCGCATGTTCTGATAGACTTATGAATGTTTATTGAAAGATCCTGAGGAAGTTTAAGGAAATGCTATGGAATTCAGGATTCGACTATTTTCCTCTTAAATTAAATATTGATAACCAAAGTACTGACAATTTCATGTACTTACTTGTTTTCCGGCAATAGTAAAAAATCCGAGCATAATGACAATAAATCGAAATGCATTACATTATTGCTGCTAGAATAATGAAAAAAAAAATTCTTTTTTATTTTTTATTTTTTTTCTTACCAGTTTAATACAATCAAATCCATACTAAGTAAATATTTTCACAAGAAATAAAAATCTAAATAAAGATGATATTAATTTTGATATTTGTATTATTTGTTCATTTACTTTCCATGGTTTATAAAGTAGTATATAAATGAGTAGAAGAATTCCAGGAGAATATTTTTCATATAATCGATTTTGTGTTATATCAAATAAGTACATATAAACGAATTTTTCTATTTATTTCTAGACAAGTTCGTATACGTAATGGTTGAGCAAGTTTTTATATGAACTTCTAAATCCATCTTTTCTGAATAATTTGCCATAGAAACACCAACAAATAGAGTTAAACCAATTAATATACCAATAAATACAAATATATGAACAAATATAAGCATGTTCCTAAAAAACGTTTTTCTATGAAAAAAAAAACAAAAGAAATAATGATACTTACTGGACCCATACGATTCATAATAATATCACAAATATCAAGCCACATTTCAAGTGATAGAACTTCAAAAGGACCTAACATAGCACTACCAATATAATCAAAATTAAAGTTATATGGATTAGCCATAAAAATTATTTAGTTAAAAACAATAAAAATATACAAAATTCAATAACATACTGTACATGTGTAGTACTAGAATAACTCAATTAGTTCCACTAGCATGCAATTTTTTGCATAGATAAAGGCTTCTCTAAAATGCTCCATGACATAATTTTTAGAAATTATTATTATAACTTTAATTTAATCATGAAAACATTTAGATTTAACATACTTGATTATTATAATAATATCGATCATTATATCTCTTCTCGATGATAATAGCTATCAAGAGTCTGAAAAATAATTTTTGTAACTAAAAAGGCTCTCTATCGGGATCGATAGGTCTTCAAGACTTCAATATCTCTGCTTGGATGGAGTCTATGTAACTCCTACCAAGAATACATATTTAATATCATATCCGCTCTCATTATTCATTTAAGAATTTTGCTGCAAAAATTCGAGTATGAATTCATGATCTCACGAGGAAACATATTCAAATATCAAATCATTTTTAGATCGAGTATATGCTCAAAAGATAGACCTCAGCGAGTTATGGGCCTTTTACTCGATTATGTGCTGTGAACATACGATTTTTCTGACAACCTGACTGATCGAATTTCGAACTGAAATTTTGTCCATGAATAGGTCCTATAAGCACTAGAAACTGCTCAAAGTTTGAGCCAGAATCAATATATCCTTATCGAGATATCGGCTTGCCATGACAATACCCCTATTTTGAAACAGTCTAAAGCAGGCATTTCCGTAAAATATAAATATCTCGATAAGGATATATTGGTTCTGGTTCAAACTTTGGACATTTTTTAGTGTTTATAGGACCTATTTATGGACAACATTTCAGTTCGAAATTCAATCATTCAGGTCGTCAGAAAAATCGTATGTTCACAGAACAAAATCGAGTAAAAGACCCATAACTCGATAATAGAAGGCTGGAAAATCAACCCACTGGAGGGCATTTAATAACTCACCGAGCTCTATCTTTTGAGCATATACTCGATCTAAAAACGATTTGACATCTGAGTATGTTCCCTCGTTAAACTATAGATCTGAAGTCGCTCTAACTAAATCATATATCGAAAACAAAATTTCATCGAAATCACAGATCATTTTCATACAGTTTTTGCCATATTTTGCAGACATAATCGATTTCAAAAGGATTTCGTCTCTTTCGATTCTAGAGTTATTCAATAAACCGCCACACCCATTACTTTTTGAAAATAATATTAGTCTAAATATTGCGATTTTTGATATTGAATATAGTGAAGAGATCTCATTGTATGTGTCAATCACAGTAAAAGGTTGATATTATTAATCTAGCAGAATCATAATATGGCAGACATAGAAATCAAGAGTATATGTCTAAGTTCGTCAAGAGAAACGATGATATACTTGGTAACTTACTGATCGATTAAATTCGTGTGTATAGCAGGCTAGTATGGTGTTTGAATCAACAAACGAAGAATAAAATTGTATTTGCCGCTTCTTATGATATCAGTTGTACATATTATCATTAGATCAAAAGAAGTTATGCATTGCAGATGAATCTAATAAATTGACAGATTATTAATCCTAAGACAACCATAAAAATTCATTGGATTTTGATTTGACATTTCTTAAAATAAGTTGTTTTAACCTCACTGACAAGTTTTTATTAAATAGCAGTTCATTAAATAAATGTATCAAAAATAGAAATGAATAAACACACATTTTATAAACAACAAACAAAAATCTGTTCTATTGTAAAGTTTTTGTTTTTTCAAAGAAATCGTATTTTAAAATGAATAAAATAGCAAAATTAAGAAAGTTCAATGCAAATGACATTCGAAGATCTACCAATATTCGTATTATTGTTCAAACAATAACTATCTGCTAGTTTATCATAATGCTCAATTATTTCAATGTCATATTCATATTCAACCGATTGATCCTATTTAAAAATGTACTTCAGAGCAAGCTTAGCTTGAAAATTTAGCTGAAAGTTGTGTGAAACAAAAAAATATTCATAGTAAGTGTCTGAATAACCAGGAATGTTTGACATACCTTGCTCATTACCTAGATGTTCTTTATGGATGACCCCTCACCAGATGACGAATAAGATGGCCATCTTCTTCAATACATACAAGTCTACAGACTTGTTCAAAGGTATCTGTTTCATTGACAAAAATCTTCCTTATGAAAGGATCCTCTAGTTGTTGCTCGTCAACAGATATATCTGGCTTTGAAATAATTAGTTTGAGTTCATCGAGTCTTTTCTTCCATTTCGTCAAATTTCGTTCATCAAAATCATGATTTTGTTGAGTTTTCTGTAACTTTTCAGCTATTTCACGAGCATATATTGTGTTCTCTTCATCCATCGAGGAAATCAATGGCTGAACTTACCGACGTGCTTCTTCCGCTGTTTCTTTTATCTTTTGAATTGATTTCATTTCACAAGTATCAATTTTATCAATCAGAAGTGATTTTAGGCCGGTACTTGCTTCACTTGACATGCCTTGAAATGTATTCAATTCATTCACAAATTCATCAAGCTGTTGATCAAGTTCAGTTCGATGTAAATTATAATCATTGCTACAAAATATGACTTGGCATCCTTGACATTTTAAAATGCCTGCCTTTGTAGTACATATAGCACATGTGTCTTTCATCATTGCTGTCGATTATTTGTGCTTGATAAATATCATAAACTTTACAAAATGATAGTTAGAGAAACAAATATGTTTTTTTTAAAGCTTATCTTCGGTGCACGACTATAAGAGTGAAAAACAGGAATAAAAAGAAAAACGTGTCAATTATCTCGGAGTTGCACTCATACTGATTTAAGATGCAAGTCTTTGTAATATGACTAGTAGGCGCATTTCAGAGTGTTATTCCATCATGAAAACATCTTATAATTCATCTTCAGGCCTCAATAAGAAATTTTCGATTTCACCAATAAGTGCTCTAACGCCCCTTTTCTAGTTCTGAAAATTATTTTACATGAACAACTTTTTTATGCTTTATCTAACAATTAAATTGAAATTTCAAAAGAACATGCATGAAGAATAAAACAGAGAGATTATGGGACTCGTTTTTGATAAAATTAACTTTTGAATTCTCTCAACTATAGTTATCGAATATGTCAAATGGAAACCAAATTTCAATTTCTACACAACTTGACGAAGACTACAGGGCGTATAGAAGATATTTTCCCATTAACAGTGAGAAGACAATATGCTTTTCCCAGTAATAGATATATTCCGATTAGACTATAATATAGTACACTGCTTTGACCATTGCGGACGAAAAGCGCGTTTAAAAACTTTTGATCTCTTTACGCCCGAATGTTGCCAAATGATAAGATCTCCATTTGCTACTGTCTAAATTTACTAAATAATCCTTCTTAATGATACACTATACAATAGATCAACGAAGCAAAAACTTATCACTAATTGCCTCTGACATTGAATGTCCAAGCACACCGGAAAAACTCTTACGATTCGGATGCTCCTTTGGGAGTGAGGGTGGATGTAAGCGTGGACATTGGGTTGTATTGAGGTAAGGTAATAATGGCTGGTGGACAGGTGGGAGTGAAACGATGGATCTTGCAAAGTTATGGACTACAATAAAGATAGTTGATTTTTTCATTTGCTCATACTCCATCTACGCCCACACTTGCAATGCTCACTCATTTGATCTTAAAGAGTGCGTGCCTTAGTTTTTCATCGATCGCGTGGCTTTTAACTTTTCCATCTTATTTGTGAACACTTAAAGATCAGATAAATTGTTTCGGTACAGAAGATAGTTTCATATTTATTATCAGAAAACGAAACAAAAGATATACTTGTTAAAATTCGAATAATCGTATTTGATAGCGATTATTTCTTCGTGTACCATTATTTATATAATTGAGTATTTTTCGTAAATATTTTCTTGAAGAAGTCACTGATTTCATTAGTTGTTGATTATTATCTTTTATTACTTCTTCTGTTGGATTAAATGAAGGGAAATTCCTATATCCTGAATTTGAATATGTGAAATCGATTAAAAATAAAGATATAATCTGTGATTCATTGGTCAAGACCAATATATCTCCATGTCGATGTGCCATTCTTTCAGCTTTGTTACAGGAAGAAGATCTGCACATGCAAGAAGAGTATTTGTGTTTTGGACGTATGAGAGAGGATAAGAAGCCATGAAACAAGAACAATTACCAATGCCATACACTTGACCATGTCTGCAAGCAATCGTTGGAACTTCAGAATTGGTTGGATGTGTCCGATTGAGTATCAGAAAACCATAGCGAAGAATACTTTGAATATTCAACAAATATGTTCGATGATAAACTAATTGCAGAAAATATTGAGAATTACTCTTCAGTCTTTTCATGAATTCTTTTTGAATATATGCATGTACAGATGCCAGATAAATATTACTGATTTTAATATGTGGTTGATGTTGAAATGAAGATTTGATTGATTTACGCATGACACGATAGAAATGACGACGAAATTGAGAGATGTGTTGATGGTAAACCTGATATATCAGTAGACTTGTTTAATTTTTCTCACAATAGTCGATCATGTTCAAAACTCTTTGGTTTTCGTCGATGATATTGATAATGACACATATTTCGTTCAGCTTTTGGTTTGACTTGATTATTTACACAATGAACTTTAATCAATACTTTGTTGGATTTAAGAGTTTTCATTGAGATAGAGTATGAGGATTTTTTGCATTGTCTCTTTGTATACTTGGACTTGACAGATTGACGAAGTTCAAATCGACCGATTA